TAGATGGAGGGGATTGTAATAAAGCAAAGTATATGATTTTATTGGATGTAAAACCGGTGATCTGTTCTGTAAACCTTCACTCAATTCATAAAAAAAAAAAAAAAGATTTACAGCCTTGGAAATCTTATGCAGGGTTGCTGAGTCAGAACTGACTCCAGAGCACATAACTGTCTCTTTCATTGCTCTGGTGGCATAGGGGGTTGTGAGTTGGGCTGCTAGCTGCAAGGTCAGCCGTTTGAATCTGCCAGCGACTCATGGGAGAAACAGGAGACTTTCTGGCCAAGTAGCAGCATTGATGGACTCAAGCGTGGCAACAGTAGTGAGGTTGGCCCAGGATCGGGCAGTGTTTCGTTCTGCTGTACATAAAGTCACTATGGGTCGGTACCGACTTGATAGCACCTAACGACAACAAACAACAAAGATTTACAGCCTCAGAAACCCTATATAGGGATGCTATGAGTCAGAACTAACTTGAAGGCACACAGCCACCACCCCTCACAGGCCCCATTGTTAAAGGATCTAACAGACTTCTCCTAACAATCCTATGAGGTAAACATTATGACCATTCCCTTTTCATAGATAAAGATACAAATTCAGAGAAGGAAAGAGACTTGGAGCCAGAGTGTCACTGACATAGGCCAGCATTAGTGAGTATGCAGTGACTGATTGTAATTAGCGACAGGTGTTATGTGAAAAGCTACGACTGTGATTAAGGCTTGGTAGCTTGGGTAGCCTGGGATCAAATTCTCCTTCATCTGCTGTGCGACCTTGGGAAGTCCGTCTCTATGCCTCAGCTTCCTATTTTTCAAACCCAGGTTTGGTCCTGGTTGTAGCGCTGTGGGATAAAGTGCTGGACCACAAGGTTGGTTTGAACCATAATGTTGGAATTTCAAACTCACCAGCTGCTCTTCAGAAGCCCTATATTGAGTCGCTATGAGTCAGAACTGTTTGGGCGGCGCTTAGCAACAGCAAGAGTGATATAAGGAGGCTTGGTGGCAGAACAGTTAAGTGCTTGGCTACTAACCAAAAGTTTGGCAGTTTGAACCCATCCAGAAGTTCAGTTCAGGAAAAACCTGGCAATCTATAGTTGTAAAGATTACAGTCTTGAAAACCCTATCTACGATGTAGTTCGGCTCTGTCACCTAAGGTCACTATCAATGGTAATTAACTTGGTGGCACTCGTCATCACCGCCAATAACAGTAAGGATTGGTGTAAGAGAGTGGATGCAAAACCCTGTATTTGACACACGTAAATTCCAGGTCATTATTATTACAGCAACCTGCAAAAATTTGGAGATCCTATAAAAGCCTTGGAGTGGTACTGCAGTGTGGTGAATTACTTGATATCATCCTTCTAGCCTCATCTATGTAACTCTCACCAAATGACTGGATGTGGTTATTGTTGTTAAGCACTGTCTAATCAGTTCCAACTCATCGTGACCCTGTACAGGGTTTCCAAGGAGCAGCTGGTGAGCTTGAACCACCAACCTTGCAGTTCAAAGGACTTTGCAGTCTGACTGCATTAGCCCACACCAGGACTCCATAGAAACCCTACCCTATACAGGGTTGCTATCCGTCAGGACCTATTCGATTGGGTAATATGCTAATAATGTAAATAAGGTACATGTAGCTTTGGGGTGGGGCCATGCAAATGAAGTATAGAGGACCCAATGTGGAGCTTGGCCAGTTTTCCTATCCCGCTAGGTTTAAAATGAGTCATTTCAGAATCAGAAAGGAGGAAATCTCACTACTATCAAGAAAAGAAGAGCCAGGAGCAGAGTGTATCCTTTAGAGTTAAGATCCTAATGCAGAAACTCCCGGATCCAAGAGACAGTGCTGTAATACCAGAGATGGAGTGAGACACCAAGAAGCAGTGGAAGAGAAGCAGTAGTAGCAGAGGCAGCAGAACAGCATGAGACAGAGCAGTGGGCTTCCTAGCCCTCAGAGTGAGAAGGTTTTTGAGAGCGTCTTTGAGCAGAAGGCTTGCTGGTGGAGTTGGGTGCTTCCTGGGGGTTTAGGTGGGAATCTAGTTTTACCAACTCATGGAGCTAACGTTGAACACCTTCGGCCTGGTGCTTCTGGCTGAGTGGTCTAAATTTGAGGCATTTATTGGCAGGACTAAAAGATATTTTAACACTTACCCGAACAAAGCAGAGGCCAGGCTGAGGGGCTGAGTCAGAAAAAGGCTTGCCTGTGGATATGACTAAAAACAGCCTTTCCTGACCGAAGATCTATTTCCTGAACATTTGTGATCCTGAATTGTAAACTATTAATTTCCCTAATAAACCCTATAATTGTGAGTCTTATCTGTGAGTTCTGTGTGACAATGCAACAAATTATTGAACCCAGCAGAAAAGTAAAGATTGCCAGGGGAGGTTGAGGTCAGAATTGGTAAGAAGGTTGGAGAGTGGAGCTATGTTTGGTCTCTGCCTCATAGGATTCTGATTATGGTGATTCTCCTCCTCCCCACTTGGTGAAGTTAGAGGAAGTCAGACAGTGCCTCCCCCACCATTTTTACAGGTACAAGGGCATAAATGCTCATTACCTACACTTTTCCAAGGTGCGCCTTAGAATAAAAGGCCTGGTGATCTGCTTTCAAAAGGTCACAGCCTAGAAAACCTTATGGAGCATGTTCTATTCTGCAATACATGATGGCTTAGAAGATGGATACAATTTCAGGATCTTGTGACCATTCACTCCTTTGTAGAACTCATCCACTTCACAGTGTCATTTCTATTTTGATTCTGATGGGCCCCATGTGCTCATGGAAGGCCTGTTGCTGGTTGTTGAGGGACACCCTGGAAAGGAAAAGCCTTGACTTCTGAGCTAAGTTGGCCTTAGCCAAGTTGTGAGTGCTGGGGAAAATATGGCATGTTTGGGGTGGGGTGGAGGTGGTTGGAGATCTACATGGCTTCGGTGAGGGTGGGTGGTGAGGACAGTGGGTGAAAAGCTGAGGGAAGTATGGACCCAGATTGGAAAGGCATCTGAAAGCCATTTCTACTTAATGTGGGAGGTACCATCAAAAGGTGTTTGAGCAAGAGCATGACTCAATCGACTCAACCAGAGCTGGTATTTGGGATACTGACAGCTGTGTGGAGGAGACTAGAGGGCCAGAAACTGATTTGGAGACTGGTGCTTGGACAAGGGGAGGGGTGGTAGAGGGGTGTGGGTATAGATGAGGAGAGGGATTTCACACCATTACAGGAGAAAACAGCTCTTGATACTTGGATGGATGGGGCTGGTTAGAGAAAAGAATGAGAGAGGTCCCAGGATAAGATTTCTCATGGATGAGACACAGGATTCAAGAGTAGAAAGAGATTTGATGAGCTTGGACTTTAGTGATCCTCCAGCAGGAAAAGATGGTAAATCAGAGTCACAAAGGACATCACCATGTCTGCACTCTGGACCTTTCTCATCATCCCAGTCACCACTAGCTTTTCCTCCTCTCATCGTAGCGGCCACCACAAGTCCTCCAGGGACCATGGACTCAGGATGGGGAACCCAGGAAACAAAGAAAAAAGCAAAATAAAAGTACAGGCTTACTTCAGAGATACTGTGGATTGGGTTCCAGACCAGTGAAATAAAATATATATTGTTGTAAAGTTACATGAATTTTTTTGGTTTCCCAGTGCATATGAAAAATTATGTTTACACTATACTGAGTCCTGGTGTGGCACTGTGGGTTAATGCGCTGGACTGCAACATTGGTTTGAATCTCAAGGTTGGTGGTTCAAGCTCACCAGCAGCTCTTCGGAAACCCTATACAGGGTCGCTGTGGGGTGGAACCGACTCTATGTCACTTAACAACAACAACGTAGTCTATTAAGTGTGCAATAGCGTTGTGAAAAGTTTGAAATGTGAGAATTACCAGAATGTACCAGAGAAGGCATGAATTGACATGCTGTTGGAAAAAAAGACATCTGTAGACTTGCCACAAATCTTTAATTTGTAAAACAAAAACAAATACACTATCTGCCAAGCACAGTAAAGCGAGGTGTTGTTGTTAAGTGCCGTTGAGGCTGTTCGGACCCATAGCGACCCTGTATAGGGTTTCCGAGGAGCTGCTAGTGAGCTTGAACCACCGACCTTGCAGTTCAAACGACTTTGCAGTCTGGTGCATTAATCCACAGTGCCACACTGGATGTAATGTTGTTGTGTAAAAGCCTCAGAGTGGTGCAGTGGTTACAGTCTAATTATTTTGATGGGCTCAATGTTTGACTTTAGGAGACGTGTACATGTGTTATCTGGCTGGAAGTCTCTTCAATTTATCTCCCCTTGTATTTCTCTCAAGACAGCTGGAAGCCTGTGATTCAGGCCTAACTTCCTAGGGGCACCTCTCCCATCTTCTCAGTGATAGGCTGGGTCTGACATATCCCACAAACGTACAGGAAAAATATTGGTGGTGAGCAACTGTAATGGATCTGTAGCTCAGGAGAGAAGTCTGGTGGGGCAGCAAGTAGGTGACTCCAGAGAAACTTCCTGTTTATGTTCTTGGGCGCCGCCCCCAAAGCCCTACAATGAGGCGAGGTGGGCGCCCTGTGGAGCACTTGAATGCACGGCTCTCTAGGAAAGTAGCCGCCAAACTGTTTGTGGGGTTTTTCAATAAGGTTGGTGGGAGTAATTTGTCGCTGCGCCTTCTTCTCTCGGCCGGACTGTCTGTCCTTCGAAAGGTTTGGGCTGGGCCTCGTATTCCTGGAACGGGCTTCTGGGGTGTGTGTGGAGGCGTCTGGGCCAGGTTCGCGGCACGGAACTGCTGCCCTGCCCGTGCTTCCGAGGGCGTCCACGCAAAGCGGTGTGTTCTTCCCCGCCCCTACTCTTGGCCTGGCCCAGCGACAGAACGCTGGAAGAGCGCCCTGCCTGGCTGCCGGTCTTGACTCTGACCGTTGCGCGCCGCGAGGCTTGAGCCCGCTGCCGGGCAACAGCGCGCTCCTCCTCTGGACGGCGGCGGCGCTGCTCCCGCCCCACCGCGGAGGCGGGCACGGAATCCGGGCGAATCCAGGCCGGGTTTTGCGGCGGAGCGGACTGGTTGCGCGTGCTGAATTTTCATCTGTCGTCCTCGACTGAGGTCGGCGGTGGGAGATTATGGTGCTGGACGAACTGTGGACCGCACTGTCTGGCGCCTCAGGGGCGGCCCTGGCCTGCTGCTTCGTGGCCGCAGCCATAGCCCTGCGCTGGTCCGGACGCCGGACGGCACGGGGCGCGGCGGCCCGGGCGCGACAGAGCCAGCAAGCGGCCCTGGAGACCATGGACAAGGCGGCGCAGCGCTTCCGGCTCCAGGTGATGGCAGGGACTCGGGAGGTGGGTGGATTTGGGATGGAGGGACCTCCAGCAGCGCTTTCAGATTCCCGGACATGCGCTAGGGTGGGTAGGTGGACTGCTCAGGTGCGTAACTTTCGGGAGCCTTTGCTCGCCCTCTTGCATTCACTACTCTCTTCTGAGCCAGGTGAGGCCCGGGGTTGGAAAGAGCTTGGCAGGTCTTGGAAAGGCATAGCCGCATCGGGTCCAAGAGGAGCCTTGTTTGGTACCAAAGAATTTCAAGATCACTGACTGTTAGAATGCTAAAACGCAAAAGTGAGAACCAATTGGATGCAAGGGTTTAGGACTTTGGAATCTCTGAGCGATGACCCGGAGAATCCAGAGAGTTGGTAGTTCAAACTCATCGATTTGTGCATGAAGATCTGAAATTGGGGGAAGGAACTTGCCCCAGTTACTGTCACCCAGGTTGTCGTGACCCACCCCAGGCAAGGCCCATTAAACCTGCCATATGAGCAGGTTTAGTGGTAGCCCTTACCTGGGTTCTCTTTCAACATCCTTTTCCTTACCTTATGCTGCTTCTCAGCTTAGAATGTTTGGAAAGGCTGGGAATGGGTCTTTTCATACAGGTATATGAAACACCAGACCCATTTAAAGCCAGAATGCTGAACTCTGGGAGATGTTATTATGTGCTGAGGAGGAGAAGACTTGTTATTCATGGGGGTTTATGTTTCATAAGATTTCTATCTGGCAGATGGGAAAGCATTTCAGGTGATGGAGACAGCAGGAGTCAGGAGGGTGTGCCTAGGTGGGTGGGAGTCAGGGTGGGAGTCAGGGTGGGAATCAGAGAAAATTGCATTCTGCACCTGCTCAACTGTAGCAAGTGATTTTCAGTTGGAGCAGAGCTGGAACTAAAATCCAGGTGCCCAGTGAGATTGTCTCCCCATACTCCTGCATTACTCCACTGGAGAAGAGCAGGAGGGATATTAGGAAGAGAGACTGGGTCTTGAATGCAGTGAGATGTTGTTGTTGTTAAGTGCTGTTGAGTCAGTTCTGACCCCTAGTGACCCTGTATAGGGTTTCCAAGGAGCAGCTGGTGAGCTTGAACCACTGACCTTGCAGTTCAAACGGCTTTGCAGTCTGGCGCATTAACCCACAGTGCCACACTGGATGTAATTTTGTTTGCTTACTCCGTACCATCTTTGGACCAGGGTATGCCACATTTATTAATTGACTGAAATAAAATGTATCTGGTTACAGCCTTCACTCATCAAGTCAACTGAGAAGTCCATTATCAGTCAGTTTTTAGGGCTCGATCCTTCTGGTGGAGTTTTGGTGTGGCACTATGGGTTAATGCGCTGGACTGCAAAGTTGGTTTGAATCACAAGGTCAGCTGTTCAAGCTCATCAGCTGCTCCTTGGAAACTCTATACAGGGTTGCTATGGGTTGGAACTAATTCAACGGCACTTAACAACAACAACTCTTCCTGGTGTGGCACTGTAGCATAAGCATTGAATCAGAAGGTTGGTGTGAACCACAAGGTTGGAGGTTCAAACTCACTAGCCGCTGCTTGGAAACCCTGTATAGGGTTGCTAGAGTAGGAACTGACTTGCCGGCACTTAACAACAAGGGTCCTGGTGTTCAATTCAGGTTGACCATTTCTCCCATTTGAGTACAGGCTTTTCACAGGCTAGCCCTCCTCTGGCTGGGCTGCAGAGGTCCTTTTCTCAGGATGTTCCCAAGACCTGACCTTTCATCTTGGGACCAAAGCTGTATTTACCCTATATCCACAGAAGTGGAGCCCATTGATTCTGCCAGCTCTAAGAGCTCAGTGGGTAAGTGGGTGGGGAGAACAGGTACAGAGTTTACCTATAGCTCCTGTCCACAGAAAGTCTTTTTAATCACAAGCATTCGCCTGACTGAGGAATATGTGGTTGTAGAAGAATGGGTCTCCTCCCACTTAACTCCAAGCACTGGCATCTACACATTTCCCCTCTGGAACAATATCCTCTCATCATTTCTTAAGAACTGAATTTCCCAGGCTCTGAAATGCCAGAAGGTTTGCATATTTTATACATTCTGGGGCAGGGGAACTTGATCTTAGAACACTGAGGCTAGGCTGTTCCGGGAGTATGTATCAGGAAATTACCTTTGGTTTCCAGTGGCTGTGGAGAAAAAAGGGAGACCTATTTGTTTGTTTTCTTTTTAAGTTTTTGAACATTTTTATTTAGGCTTCATTTGGATACAATCATATTGTTTTATATCTTCTAAATTCTAGGCTTTAAATTCATTACTACCTCTAAACCTCTTAAGGGAGTCCTGGTGTGGTGCTGTGGGTTAATGCGCCAGACTGCAAAGCCGTTTGAACTGCAAGGTCGGCAGTTCAAGTTCACCAGTTGCTCCTTGGAAACCCTATACAGGGTCGCTATAGGTCGGAATCGACTCGACAGCACTTAACAACAACAACAAGCCTCTTAAGAGTCTAAATAGACCATCTTCACTCATAGTTTCACACTACGGTAAAATGAGAAGCACATGTATTAATGTTGTTGTTGTTAGGTGCCGTCAACCATAACAACCTTATGCACAATAGAATGAAACACTGCCCGGTCCTGAGCCATCCTCATAATTGTTGTTAAGCTTGAATCCATTGCTATTGCTACTGTGACAATCCGTTTTCTCTTTTTCACTGACCCTCCACTTTATCTAGCATGATATCCTTCTCTAAGGACTTCTCCCTCTGATAATATGTCCAAAGTATGAGAAACAAAGTCTTCCCATCCTGGCTTCTAAGGAGCATTACAACTATACTTCTTCCGACACAGATTTGTTTGTTCTTCAAGCAGTCCTTGGCACTTTTAATATTCTTCACCAACACCATGACTCAAATATATCAATTCTTCAATGGTCTTATTCATTGTCCAACTTTCACATGCATATGAGACTGTTGAAAATACCATGGTTTGGGTCAGGTGCACCTTAGTCCTCAAACTAACACCTTTGCTCTTGAATACTTTAAAGAGATCTTCTTCATCAGATTTGCTCAATGCAATACATGGTTTGTTTTTTTAATGTTTTATTGTGAATTATGTGATAGTCTCCATGGGAAAACATTAGTTTTACATTCATCCTATCATATATAGTTTCATTGCCATGGTTACAGTCCCCTTCGTGCATCATCAGCAAACCAAAGGGTATATCCTACAAGCATACTTACTCCCAGCCCTCTCCCCCATCCCCCATCTGGTCGTCAGCACACAGCCCCTCTCCGTCTCTGTGTCTCAAGTCTCCAGCTGCTCCATCTCTCCATGTCATCGTCTCTGCCTCCATCTCAGGGATCACTGATTCTCTGGGTAGGGTCCTGCTCTCTGCTCTCCTCCCTTGATGGTCCCAGGGACCTCCACTCCTAGATTACAAACTTAATCACTCCCCTCCTTGCTGTAAAACGTCTACCTTTACATTTACAACCCTCACATTCAGTCCTGATAACAGTGATTTTTTTTTTTTTTAATTCTGTTTCCATGAGTATTGATTGTGGATCCAAACCAAATGAAGTCTTTGACAACTTCAATCTTTTCTCTATTTATCGTCATGGTATTTGTTCATCCAGTGGTGAGGATTCTTTTCTTTACATTGTGGTACAACCCATACTGAAAGCTGTGGTCTTTAATCTTTAACAGTATTTTAAGTCATCTTTGCTTTCAGCAAGCTAGATTGTATCATCTGCATATTGCAGGTTGTTAATGATTTTTCCCTCAGTCCTGATCCCATGTTTTTCTTCGTATAATCCAGTTTCTCAGATTATTTGCTCAGCGTATAAACTGAATATATATGGTGAAAGTAAGTATACAACCTTGTTGCACATCTTTCCTGATTTTAAGCCATTCAGTGTCCTCCTGTTCAGTTTGAATGGTTCCTTCTTGTTCTATGTACAGGTTTCACAATGAAGTGTTCCAGAATGTTCATTCTCCACATGCAAAGCTTCCAACATCATAGCAGCATGCATGCCATCACATTACGACTAACTCACAGACAGTGATGCATGGTTTAATGTAATCCATTACTTTGAAGATTCTAATGAATACAAGGAGTTCTGAGGGTTAATCCACTGGACTGCAATGTCGGTTTGAACAACAGGTCAGTGGTTAAAGTTCACAAGTCACTCCTTGGAAACCCTGTACAAGGTCACTATGAATTGGAACCGACTCAACAGCACTTAGCAATGACAATAATGAATAGAAATAGTTTATATTTCACATACATTCCAATACTGAGAACAATACATCTCTGCTAAAAGTGATTTTCATTAAAGTATATTTTATTTAAAATTTTTCATTGTATACTGTTTCTAGAATATCTCAGTTTTTTTTTAAGATGGTTTACCAATAAGCAGTTTTATCTTATTGCAGTTCTAAAGGATTCATGGCTGGAAAGTAATTTGATATCTTCCAAACCCTCTAAGGTTTTTTTACTTTAACCTTTAAAATGTTGTTATGATTTATGCATTATTGAATCTTTCCAAAGATTAAAAACAAGGCAGTGTTTTTAATAGACTTAAACAAGAGAATAGCCTACATTCCCTATTTTTTAGCCCCAAGCTGCTTTCCCAAGCTGCTTTCAGGTTTCTTTCCTCATCTTTGATTTTGGAGAGTCTGATTATGATATGGTCTTGGTGATTTTATTTTGGGGTCTATCCTATTTAGAGTTCATTTAGCTTCTTGAATGTTTATTATCTCATCTTTCATGTTGTTAGGGAAATCATCTTCCAACAGATCTTTAACTATCTTTTCTATGGTTTATATTATCTCTTTCTGTTTTGGAATTCCAATCACTCAGAGGTTATACCTCTTCATGTTGTCCCATGTCTATCATTTGTATATACCCAAATATCATTCTCCTACATTTTTTTCCCACGTAGTTTCAGTGCCTCTTCTTTCTTAAAAACATCTTCTACCTCTACCTCTGGGTCATTTGTTTGATGTGCTCTGCCTTGTTTCTTCATGTGAGCAGAATTTTTCTGCTGC